CCTTTTATGGGGCACCAGTAAGTTATTTCCATACAGATTTCTATTAGCATAACAATCAATCATGCAATAACCATATCTCATTTATACTCACCATTCATTTAAATAACAATATAGTTTAATACAGTCAAATAAACAATGACTGGAATACCGACACGCAATATAGGAGAAACAAATAACAAATAACCAAAAAGACCTTAAAACTTATCAATTGAGTTACGCACAGTATAATAGTAAATAAATATAGATAATACAGAAAAATAAACAGGAAATCAAAATGACTGTGAACTAACAAATTTCGCCTCTATTAATGACCTGTAATTATTTTTAAGATTCTCTAATTTTTTTATAAAGACACATAATTATTAATTATTAAACCTTAATTTACCGTAATGGAGAAAATGCTGATATATCCTTACCCGAATCAGTATCTGAAATATTGAACTTTCTATTGTGCATATTGGCGGTCCCCGGGATTCATAAATTATCCATACGTAATCCAAAATACTTGTTATGTATCTAAAAATACCATATAAATCCAAAATTGGTGTAAAAAAAAATTATTTTCGGCCAATTTTGGGGTTTTGGCACGACGACATCATTGTGCTCCGGCGACGGCACCACCACCCGTGGTGGCAGTTTGCCTTCGCCTGGCTATTTTCGGTCGATTTTGGCCGATTTCGGCTGACTTTATATATATCTCTGCGAAAAAATACGTTAGAGAATCTCAGTTGGCCCAAAAAAATAAGAAAACAGGAACATACCGACGATGAGATTTTCCAGGTGCGGCGGCTCCGCCAACTCACCTTTGCGGCTAAGAGTTTTTCTTCAGTCAATATGCAAAAAACAGAACGATAAACACAATAGTAAAAAAATCGTACGAAACGGAAAATGGAAAGGGGCTCACCGAATGAGGTTACGGATTTTGCCCGTGGCATCGCCTGTAACGACCCCGGAAAATATTAAAATAAAATGAGTGTTTAAACATATCGAATGCGGAAGCGAGATCAAAATTTCATTTAACATCCCTTACACGAAAAATCAAACAAACGTACTTAAAATATAAAAGGTTAAACTAACTAAGAAAGAAAACTCGAAAATAAACTATGCGTATGACTACAGAGTCTCTAGGCATCCCCTTCGTCATCCTCATGCGGAACGGGCTCGGGAACCATGTCTTCCTGATCTGAAATGGTTAATTAAGGAGTGAGCTACACTAGCCCAGTAAGAACATCACGATATCTCACCGTCACGGAGATAAAGGTGGGTAGAAAACCACAAAAAGACCAATGGAGCATAATTTACAACAAAACCTTTTATCAATAATAAAACTTTTACCATCCACTTACCTTGGTGGAATTTATGAAAACAATATGAGAAAACAATAACATTATCATAATCATCGAATAATCTAAGCTGTAAAACATAACACTTATCACGCCTTTTGTAATTCAATCATTATACAACATATCCTTTTCTCATTTACCAGCCTACTAGTATCCATGGGGGTCCCTAGGGGTCCCGCTACCCGTTAACATTTAACATTCATAATCAGTTTCCAGGGCCGTCCCCATACCCCGTCCGGTATGGGCGCCAAAACCATGAACCTCAATACCCCGTCCGGTATGAGGGTGAAACGGGCCGTCCCCATACCCCGTCCGGTATGGGCGCCAAAACCATAAACCTCAATACCCCGTCCGGTATGAGGGTGAAACGGGCCGTCCCCATACCCCGTCCGGTACGGGCGCCAAAACCATAAGATCTCCATACCCCGTCCGGCATGTGAGACCACAATCCCGGTAGGGTTCCCTACGGACCCGGTCCGTCCACCATCTCCCAGGATATCTAGTCAGGCTGGCCCCCATAATACAATTATCAGTCTACACAATCTTTCATTTTCCTTTTCCTCAATCAGCATCATCAATTCACATTTAAACAAGCAAATCGTAATTCATACCAACAGACAACATACAGTATCGATTTTTCAGTCATTCAACCCATATTTAATAAAAACGTAGTACGTGCACACAAATCTGTAAAATGAACACATCAAACCTCATTTTGCATTTAAAGCTGTAAACAGGCCAAATAACAGTAAATCATCAATCACACTAGACTCGGGCTCCATTAGCAACCTTAAGCAATTTCACACATGCGTTAATTCAAGAAATACCGTTTTATCATTTTGAACTTTAATACCGTGATAGGAAATAGGGTGAGGGGTCCTTACTTGTTTTCGAGATCCGAATACGATTCACAGTGCGCCTGCAGGCTGTCCCTAATTTTCCCTGAATTTTTCCCGGGGAACTGAAACACACTAACAGTACCTGCACGTGTTCCAAAAAAAATCCAAATTAGGCCCAGGGCCTCTTTCGGCCCAAATCGCAAATTCCGGCACGGCGGCTCCGCCGTGCTCCGGCGACGGCGCCGCCGCTGGCGGCGGCGAGTCGCCTCGGGTTGACTGTTTTTCGGCCGTTTTCGGCCGAATTCGGCCACACTCGCATTGGTCCTTGTCAGAAAACAACCCTAGGGCCCTCGGGGGGCCAAAAAATCACGGAAAAACGGAGCTTACCGGCGGCGGCGCTCTCGGGTGCAGCGGCTCTCCGGCGAGGTTCGTGTTTTGGTGATTCAGCTCCGGTCAACCTGTAGAGAAAAGAATGGTGATCACGGTGATATAAAAATTGCATCGAACGGAGGCCGGGAAGGGCCTCGTCGGAGGCAAAAACCGAGAGGGGGCGCGGCGGCGCCGCTGGGCTTCGGCCGCGTATTCCGGCCGTTTGGCCGGGATTTCGGTTTCGATTTGGCCATAGGAGGAATCAGTGGGGAAAAACGAGTCGGGGGTATGAAATTTACCTCGATCGGCGGTCGGAAATTTCCCCGGTGCGGCGGCGAGTGGCGGCGGGTGGCGGCGGTCGGCCTCTGGTTCGTCTTCTCCGGCGAGCGGCTGGCGGCTAGGGTTTGTGGTCTGGTGTGGGGGTTCTATTTATAACCCCTTGCCTTTTGATCACAGCCGTTCATTTTGTTTTAATCTGGGCCGTTCGTTTTTGATTGAATCTGGGCCGTCCGTGCGATTGAATCTGGGCCGTCCGATCGCGTGATTGATCTGGGCCGTCGGATCGCACCCACGCGGATCGCCAACGTGGCTCCTTTTGGAGTGACGCGGTCTTGCCACGTGGCAGGCTCTGGTTGGCCAGGACTGCTGACTGGGCCTGCTGACGTGGCTGCTGACGTGGCCGCCCTTTTTTTTTTTTTTTTTTTTTTTTTTTTTTTATTCCTCCT